AGATATAAATACCCCCTCTTGAAAAGTGCTAAAATCCTTAGAATAGGAATTATTTCTCTCCTTCTGGAATTCTACTATTTTCCTGACCAAGTTCCACGCCTGGAATAGCTACAGTATCACACGGAAATCATCATCAGGCAGCGGCTCAAAGGACAAAGCAGAGAAGGGCCGATCACACTCCCCATGCTGTTTGCAATAGATCTCTTCATAAGTGGAAAAGAAGTTTTGCTTATATTTTGTTTTCTTTTCATAAGTCATATAAGAAGTAGGAGAATGGAGAGATGTTGACATCATTTTTAGCCCTCACAAACAAAAACAGATCGCCAACTTTAATATACATTGGGAATGGCTGCTGTGAGGAAGCTGGTGCAAGTGTTTGCAATGTTCATATGTGCCACATGCCACTGTTGCTGTCCCAGCTGCTCCTTGAGACCGAGTCCTGGGCGAGGATTCAGCCAGAGCATGCATTCCATTTCCTTTGGCAAGCGCCACTCCCAGATTGGAAACATTCGAACAGAACCGCAAAATGAATCTGTCTTAGTTAGAAGTGATTTTACTACCTGTGCATCCTCGAGGGCAGGGGCCAGCCTGTGGCCTCCCCGGGTCATCACGGACCGGAACAGACGCCAGAGAACTGAAGACGTGAGAAGGCACACGCTACCTATGACCCAGACGTCTTTTCTTCTGAGTGTTAAGTCCATTCTCTGGGGGCAGCTGTGGGTGTCGCTTGGCTAATATGCTCCTTCTCTGCCCTGACCTAGCAAAAGCACTTGCAGAGCATTGTCACCCGCTGCTGCGCTCTGAGGAGTGGGAGTCACAAGTTGCAGAGGGTTCTCGTAGAGTCCTGCAACTGGTGTCTCCAGTTACACAACCAAAAAAAATAATCTGCCTCTTTAAAAGGAAAATTACGATGACCTTGTGTGACAGATCTAAAACAGGCGTCTGGGCAGCGGGAGACCTGCTGGTGATAATTTACACCACTGCAAATCCGAGTTGTTCCCAGTTCAAGGACTATTAGCACCACGGTAACTGGCATCTGATGGCTGGTGGGGCTGGGCTACTGCCAGGGAGCCTTCTCCTGCCCTTACAGGGTGAGGAGCAAAAGGATGGGGGTGGGGAAATGCAACGGTAAAAATCACAAAACCTCCACCCTCAGCCTTGTTATTTTGAGATCTAAGTTATAGTCATTATGGATGGTGCCGATGGTACGATTTCACAGCAGTTGGTCAGGAAATGCCACCTGGTATTAAATCCACCAACTGCAATCAAAATAGGGAGAGCCACACTCTGCTCCGACCCACTCTGTCCTTCTGCACATCCTGTTAATAAATATTTTGCTTTGCTTGGTCCTTGCAGCATGTGTACCGGGCGTTTGAACATTCAGGGGCTGCGAGGTCCTGAGTCTGCTAAGGCCATCCTTATTTCTATCACAGCTTTGGGATACTCCCTGGGCACGATATGGAAAAATTTGAACCTAGTTTTAAAGAGGAATTATTCCCTACTAAGGAAGACTTTCAAACATGAATCAATGAGGGTTAGGAGGAATGCAGAAGTAATTCACTTAAGGTCTTACAAGCACGGATGCGGAGTGGTGGTGCATGCTGATGTGTTTTTGTAGCACGATCATCCACACTCCTGTGTCCCACAGCTTTTGCACTTGGGACCATGCCTTTAGGGTGGAGAATAAGTAACTAGGGGTGTACAGGAAGATGGGGAAAGCCAAGGGACAAGGAGGTGATCATAGATAACCTTGGGCATAATACGTGTACAGCATGCAGAGGAAGGCAGTGATAAGGAGGAAGAGCCACTTAGTTGTCCAAGAACTTTATCTGGCACTTCTGTGTTTCATTAAGCAAGGGTGGGGGTGGGGTGTGCATAATAGAGGGAGATGATACCAAAGAGTAAATTAAATCTGAGGGAAATACAACACGAGGGTTATTTACTATACACGTACTAGAGAACCCATAAAAAAAAACCCTAGATTTGATTGTATAAAAATAATGCTAATTATAGTTACGAAAGCCATTTGTCATTTATAACAATGATACAGACACAGGAGCTATTAGGCTCATCACTCATGTAAGTCAGAACAACTTTCTTTTTAAATTTTACTTCATTTCAACACCATATTCTGTATGTTTAGATCTAGTTTAAAAAGGAATTATTCCCTACTAAGGAAGACTTTTACACACGAATCAACGAAGGTTAGGATAAATGCAGAAGTAATTCACTCAGAAGTCTTACAAGGACGGACGTGGAGTGGATGGTCCATGCTGACATGTTTTTGTAGAATGATCAGCCATACTTCTGTGGTTATCTGTTGCATATGGTTATCTGCTGAAAACTTTTAAAATTCTACAATATAGGTAGAATTTAGGTGATTTTGAACAGTCTTTGGAATATAATAGAATGCAAAAAGTCATTAGAAAACAGAATAAAAAGGTAAGTGGAAAATTAAGAGAACAAGACCTTAAGTAGAAAGAAGAAAAGTAGAACATATAGTATTTCATAAATTCAACAAAACATCAAGGAAAACAATAAGATAGTTAAAAATAAATTCAGTGGAGAAAAAATAAATTAAATAGAAAAACCTGGTTCAGAGCAAGAAAAGAAAAAGGATCAGAATTTTATCACACTATTTTAACAAATATAAGTTGTTAAATTGATATATAAGTCTTCCCCTTTTGGGACTGTAAAGTAGTTACAGAGGATTCGAGAAAGAAATTGCACTTCAAGCTTCCAGAACAAAGCTTTTACATCAGAGTGTCTGAAATTCAGAGTCAATTCTTTCCAGCATGTTCCTTACTATGATTAGCAGTGCTAATCTCCTCAAAGAGAGAAGGGATAAGAGAGAAAGCAGAGTAAGTGCAGAAATTTGACAAGCATTTTTTGAATAGTCCCTGCAGAGAAAAGAGTGGTATTGTAAAGATTTACCGTGGGCCCAGCAGGAGATGAAGACGTGTTAATCTAGTGCTGTCTGCATACCTGGAGACATCTGAGCTGCTGGAATGTCCTCTGCTCACCCGCCGCCAGGCCTGCTGGCTGCCCTGGCACCCAGCGACTGGGCAAGCAGGGCCCACGGTGCCACACAAAGGGGAGAAGCTCTGTGCCTGCAACACGCGTACCGATCCCTTCTCCACACAGCCAGAGAGAGACAGGGAAATTTATTGCTGACATCTCTGGGCCTTTCTCCATTGACAAATAAGAAATTGAATGGGACCTATGGAGCTTCTGGTTACTCCTTCCCACCTTCCACAGGTAGCAACTGCAGGACCAAAGCGAGGAGGCCCTGGTTCCAAAAGGGATATTAGACTTTCTGGGAAGGATGTTCTTTGAGGGTTTCTATAGACACAACATTCTCAGTCTTTCCCTCAAAACTATCCTAAAAATAATTAACTTCCAAATCGTTGATTTCTAACGCTCTGGAGCAGTTGGCTATCACAAAAGTAATTCTCCCTAAAAATGTTTATGTTCCAACTTAGCACTGTCTCACTCTTTAAAGGGTTGCCTACTCATGAAAGCACAGAACAAGTTTTTGACAAGTTCACAGAACTTGGAGAAAAATGGTACTTGAAATCTGATCAAATTCATATAAACTGTTACAGTTAGTTGATGATTTCAAAGTTACCCAAGAAGAATATTTTGTCTCCTGTGTCCTACAGAAATCAATGAAGAGAACACAAATCCCTGTTTATTTGTTTTACTACTAAAGGCCCTAATAAGAAAGACTTCCACGTCTCACTTAGATTTTGCCTGTGGAAATTTCTTCTTGGTCTATACTGAACTCACAGCGAAAGCAGAGGTCTCAAAAACCTGTTTCAGTCTGAGTCCTTTCTTCTCTCTGGTACATTTTATCATTTCTTACTCACTTACAATAAGAAGCCTCCTAAACCTTTTATATACAATATCTCTATTTGATTGTCACACTGATAGAAATGCCCTTCCTACCTGAATAGTGGTATTCAGAACTGTAGCTGGACAAAGAAGGATGTTTCCCAAACCTGCCTAATAAGATCATGCACTCTGATTATTAAAAAAGAATGATTTAACCAGAATACAGAATTCACTTAAATAGATCTGTTTGTTCCACAAACACTTTTGTTGCCTATGACATACACATTCCTGAGAAAGCAACTGACAATATGCGAGCAAGTAATACGAGGTCCCAACCTTGAGGACCCCTGTCTAGAGAAGGGTGATAAACCCATTCAAAACCATCGCATGCACTGGAATGAAGGCCTGGCCCTGCCATGAGGCCCACACCGGGCCAACAGATGATGGGCGGGCAGGAACTGACTAGGCCCAGGCAGGGTAGGAATTGCTGCTGCCGCTGGCAGGTACCATGCTGAGTGCTTTATATACATTATCACACTTAATTTTCACAGCAGCCATCACCCCATTATTCAGATGGTGCAACTCTTGGTTAAATTAATAAGTCGTCAAAGAACAAGCAGCTGGAATTGGACTCGGGCCTCATTCTGCACAGAGGATGACGCAGGCTCCACAGTCGTGCCATCAGCAAGTCTTCCTTGTCCCTTTTCTGAACTTCACTGTCAGCAGCTCTCCCACCTACTCCATGACGAACTCAAGGTCTTGAGGAAACTGGAAACTTCTGCAGAACGACTGTGCCCCTCGTAACGCTTCTGTGAACCTCAAGCCCAGATGTACCATGTTAAAGGGCTCTTCTTCGATGCGAGTTTCCTTAAGCTGGCTTTGTAACTCCCAAGCAGTGGAGTTGTGCAGTAGCCTACAGTGCGGAGGAGCCCGCAGGTATGAATGCATAGTCAAAGGCCTCCTAATTATTTAGCAAACTCAGTTGTATAGTTTACACACATAATTCTCGGTGAAGCAAAATGGAGATGTGCCTATTCATAAACTTCCCTTAATTCTACACACAACGACAAAACAGTATTTGAAAAGGGGCATAAATGGCTCCACGGTGTAAGAAAAGACAAACTAGAAACGACACATTTTAGGAGATTGAATTAGCACATAATTACCTCATTCTTTCCAGATCTTGAATCCTGCTTGCTAGAATTTTCTTCCAGAAAACATTTCACTTTCTCAACCTTTTCCACGCACTGAAGAAAGGCCATATTCTCCAGCCGGCTGCCGTTATAGCACGTGTTGAATTCGTCCAGCCTCTTCACTTTGAACATCTTGGTGGGGAGTCCGATTAAGCTACTGTCCGGAGTGTGGCTTTCGTCTCCCTCTGTCTCCGACTTGTAAATCAAGACACAGTTGTGATTTTTCAGTGTTTCTTTCTCTTGACTGTAAAGAAAGGACACAAAGAAAGTTCTCATCACTTATTCACACATTTGACTTCTTGGGGAATGACCAGCGAGGATTTGGAAGTCTCTTCTATTTAAACTGGAGACAGGATCCAAAACTGGGAGCAGAAATGCTAATGTTCATATCAAGTTTCCAACGCTGGAACTTTAAAACGTTCTTTCACCTTTCCTACAAAAGCGAATAGTAAGAAGCCAACTTGACTTTCACTGGGTGACTAAACATTTCTCTCTTTGTACAAAAGAAGATTCTATCAGGTGGCCTGTTTAAATACAGAATACACAGTATCTTTGGGTTTGTTTGGGATTGCAGGTTTTGCTCCTCCCATCCCCGTGGGGAGCGTTTGCCACGGCAGGGGTCTCTCCAGCTTCCCCCGGGAGATCCAACTCCCTCTTGGGAGGGGGCTCCACAAAATGAGTCTTTTTCCAGAGCTCTTCGGTGCCTACACATTAAAATGCTTGGTGTTTTATTTTTAAAAAGAAATTTGTTTTCTTGCAGTGCTCTCCCAGGGAGAAGGTACCAGTTACCTCTCCTCTTCGTCTCCATGATCAGCTGTGTACTGAGGCGTTCAGAGTCCTTGCGCTCCCCTGCAACGCTTTCCTCACAGAGCAAGCAACGCGGAGCGCACAGCGCTGCTCCGACGCCAGCGCGCGTGCCCGCGAGCACACATCACGTGATGCCACAGGGAGGCAGGGAGCGCGCGCCCGGGACTTGGTTTCTCTTTTTGAGAGACTTGAATTTGTGGTGGTTTCCCACGGCTGACTCCCGAATCCCCCTGCTGGAAATTTTCTGAAAATTGCTTCTTTGTGCTTTTTCTCAACTTAAAAATCATCTGTAATTCTCTCTGTGAAACTTCATCTTACATTTTCTCAACCAGTATAGTAAAATGTTACCCTTGAGTTCCAAAGTATTTAAAATCCACTGCTCTAAAAAAAAATCTACTTATCCACATGAAGAGCTGACATACAAACAAAGCAAAATGCAAGTATTATCAACCAGAGCTCTACAGACACATTATAGACCATTATTAGCCGTCTTTCAAATTGCCCTGAGAAAAAATCATTATTAAAATAAGGAAACAGATGCATGGCTATTTTTAAGACAAACTCTGACGAAAATATTTTGCAGATGGTGCTCAAGTTGCATCGGGACGCCACACAAAATTCATGTACTGAAACAAAAGCTTAAATTCAAGATAAAATAATTTTGCAAAGAAATGTTAAACATTTAGGTCTACCTGCAGTTTGGTACAACTTTTTATTTAAGGCAACATAGAAAGAAAGAGGGGATTTGAGAGGTTATAACAATAAACAAAAATAATTACCATTTATAGGAGGACATCATAGAGTTTGAACCACTCCAAGTGTTGAGTGTACGCTCCAGCAGATAAAGGGAAATTTTGCAGAATTCAAACTGACTACAGAATTCTCCAGTAAAAATCTTGACTCTTAGTCAGTATAAGTCTTCGGAAAAGACAAGTGTCCACTATGAGAGGAAGTATCTTCTCTCTCAGATGCCACTTAGAGCCCCTGTTTAAATTAGTGTGGCCTTCGATCTCATGTTGCTCAGCTGTTGCCTTCTTAGTCAGACACGGAAGAATATTAATTTTAGACACCAGGCTTTTCAAGGCCGATGGCTCCATTTCAGAAGTCAGGTAAGGAGAGGACAAGCTAGGAACATTGGATGAAATATCACCTTCACCTTTCCCTTGTATCAGTGTTGCCAACACTCTCGGATTTACAAAGCTGGATTTGTTCTCAGGGATCATCCGCCTAACCCTCCTGCCCCTTTCGGACTCAGGATTATTTAAGAGCTCACTCCCAACCAGGAAAATTCCAGGTGTGGGAACCCCCACAGCCACCTCTGTTTGCCCATCTCATACTCTGAATAGACTCCTATTGCAATATAGGAGATCATCTTAAAGCACTCAGCAAGTTTGTTTTCTCAGTCCTTAAAGGTGTTTGCCATGTCTCCGACTGTTTGTAGCTCCAGGGAAAAGTCAAAAGCACAAGTATCCAGGTAGGTAGGAAGAACAGGGATGAAATTTTCAAAAATTCTCCTTATAAGTAACACTGTGGCTTCTCCCCTAGTTTTCTGCCACAGATCAAGAAAAGGGAGTTAATATGAAAACAACCCACCTGCCCAACTCCAATAGTAGAGCATTTATTTGGGTGACATAAAACCTCCATTGCCTACAGACTGGAATCAGTATTACAAATTCTTCGGGCCCCAGTCAATTGTCACCTCTTATCTGTAGCCTGTGCTGGCCCCTGCATGCCCCAGTACAACCCCAGCCTCTAGTGTTCCCTTGCTATTTTTAAGTCCTTATTTTTAACTCAGATCAACGTGTGTCATATAAAATAAAAATACATGTTTTCCATTTTAAGTAGCACTTAAAGAATTATAGCAAAATCTTTTTAAAAATAGAACTCGTGTTATTTTTCTAGGATTAGAGAATCGTGTTCTTCTGGAAGAGTAACGATGCAGAACTGCAGGTTTGTGAAAGAAAAATTATCTGACAAAATGATTATGAAAAGACTGAACTGATTTGAGGTTATCAATTTTTATTGGTGGAATTAAATTGCATAAAAGTACTGATAAGATGACAAACCCCCACCAGAAGAAAAATGTGTGTGTGCTGTTGCTGATTCAGCCATACCCTGCACCCAGACCACCCAGACCACCAAAACAGCAAAATCAGAATTTCTACCCCTCGGCTCCAGCAAACCAACCACAGGCTCTAGTGAGCCAGAGGCCAGTAGAATCTGCTCCTTTGTTTGTCTTTAGAAAAAACAAAACAAAAAACAAGTTTTAGAACTACTGAAAAAGTATAAGAATAGTTCAGAGAGTTCCCCTATGTCCTGCATCCCCTATTTATTTTTCCTTTCCTTTTTTTTTTTTTTTTTTGGAGACAAGGTCTTGCTCTGTCACCCAAGCTAGAGTGCAATGGCGTCATCATAGATCACTGCATCCTCAAATTGCTAGGCTCAAGCCATCCTCCTGCCTTGGCCTCCCAAGTAGCTGAGACTACAGGCATGTGTCACCACACTCAGCTAATTTTTCTATTTTTTGTAGAGATGGGGTCTTGCTATGTTGCTCCGGTTGGTCTTGAACGCCTAGGCTCAAGCAGTCCTTCCACCTTGACCTCCCAAAGTGCTAGGATTACAGGCATGAGCCACCGTGCCCTACTATTTTCCCTATTTTTAATATCTTACATGGACATGGTATACTTGTCACAATTAATGAACCAATATTGATATATTATTATTAACTAAACTTAATGCTTTATTTTGTTGGGTTCTTTTTCCTAATATCCTTTTTCTGTTCTAGAATCCATGCAGAATTCCGCATTACATTTAGAACCAGTAATATTTGTGACAGATTGGGTAGAGGTGTGAAAGAAAGATGACAGACAAGGACAAATTTTCCCGTGAGTACGTGAAGGACGGATTTGACTAGCTGAAATGGAGAAGTCCGTAGAAGAAACAATGGGAAGGTCAGTTGTTCAGCTTTCAGCAAGCCCGTTGAATGCTCAGGTGGGATGGGCCGTGGAGATAGGAATCCGGAGTTCAGGGAGGAGTATAGGTTGGAGATATAAATTTGGAAGTCACCCACATATAGATATTTCCAGGCACAATATGTACTCAATATATATTAAAATTTGATTAATTACTGGAGAGAATGATCTTTAATTGTGTCTACTTGTCCTAAAAAACAAGTCAATTAAAAGAAGCCATGGAAAAAAAAAAAAAAGAAGCCATGCTGCTTGTCTTCTAAAATTAGGTGACAATAGTCCAGTTCTCCCATGCCCCACTGTTTCCAGCATGGAGGACAAGCAGCCTGGCACAACACTGGACCACAAAGGACAGGTTATACCTTCATATTCATTACGGTCTATCCACCTAGGCTCAGGACCCTAAGTCCATGACCACAAAACATTCTGAATGCCTTAAAGATACTTTTATGCCTGGAAATATTCATTAGTAAGGCTATGAGCAGGCCCAGCAATACTTTTCAAGTATTTCCATGACATTTTGGAGTTACATATCTTAAAAAAATACTAACGTCAGGAAAATAGCATTCCACAGAGCCATGGAAAAGGATCCCTTGATTTTTTTTCGAGGGACATTTCCATCAGCTGAATAAGAGACCATGCTGTCAAAAGAGCCACATGAAGATACATCGCTGATAGCCCTGTCTACTGATTGGCATTGAAGCCAGGCTGGATAACACTAATAGTTTCTATTTGCACATAACATTCTGAATATTTCCAGACAAACATGGACTCTTGAACATTTACAAAAGTGGAGCAATTGTCATAAATACCAAAATGTAAAGAAAAGGCTACTGCATACCTGTTAGCCACATTACAATCAAATTTTTTTCTTTTTAAAAAGCATCACTGTATACAATCCATAAAAGCAAAAATTGATAAACTACACTTCATCGAAATTCAAAATGTTTTCTCTTCAAAAGATACCATTAGGAAAATGAAAAAACCAGGTACAGACTTGGAGAAAACATTGTGAAATCACATATTTGATAAAGGGCTTGTACCCAGGATATACAGTGAAGTCTTACAACTCAATAATGGGATGACAAACATTCCAATTTTTAAAATGGACAAAAGATTTAAATAGACATCTCATCAAAGAAGATATAAAAATAATTAATAAGCACATGCTTATTACTTTAAAACATTCTCAAAAGCACTTATCAGGGAGATGCAAATTAAAATCGCAATGAAATTGCCTTTCACACCTACGAGATAACTATAATTTAAAAAGACAGAAAAAGCAAATGTTGAAGAGGATGTGAAAAAACTGGAACCCTCATCAGACGTATGGATAAGAGTGTAAAATGGTACGGG